CCCAGCCAGGGTCAACCCACCACAATCTGGAATGAAATCCTCATTGCAGGCTTTGACTTAGAGGTTAGGAGAAAATCAGGAAGGGTACATGACAAAAAAATGACTTGCAATCATCTGCTCAGTGAGCATGTGCTTAATCATGGCGAAGGTAAATGAGGCCCTATTCTTTTGTAGCAGCAAAACATGTTTTTCTCAATTGGCATGACCTTGGGATTTGAAAATGAACAAGAGCACTTTTTCTGGTTCTGGTCTGTGGTTATTTGTGCAGCTTAATGACCAGATAAAAGATGCACTGAGCATCTTCCAGCAGACAATGGGGTCTTTCATCTCCTACTTGCAACAATGGCAGCAAAGAAAATGTTGCACCATTGGGAGAGCTCACCAGCACCATGCCACCAGTGCAGTGTCTCTCGTGAAGTTCACTAGAAATGATAAACTAGAGAATGCGTGAGGGTAACAGAATCCACAGTCATTGATTTATACCTCATGGGCTGCTAATTGATGTGACAAGCATGCTGTTAATAATTTACAATAGCATCTCGTACTGTCATTCATATATATATTTGAAAATCACAGTCTTAACAAGCTGGAACTTCCCTCTAGCAATGTTCCCACCAAGAGCTGAGAAGAAAAATCTTTGGAGTTACTTCTGTAATACACAATGTAGAAAAGCCCAGATAATGAGGATATATTATAGATCAGTTTCCACTGGAAGAATTTAGATTAAAAACACTTTACAATATGTCATACAGTGGCTTTGAAGCTAAGCAGAACCTATTCCTTTTTGGTTTTTGACAGACAGGAAATGTAACACAACCTCAACATTCATTTGATTTTCAATTAGGATTTTGAAACCGTGCTTCTCCTTCTACTAAATTGTTGGAGTCCAAGCTGTTTGGTGTGCCCTGCTGGTGCGGTCTGGGAAATTTCAGCCACATTCTAAAAAAAAAAAATGACACAGGACCATAAAAGGAGCTAAGCGGGGGCACAAATCCAGCACAGAGATGGAAGCAATGGAATGGCTGCACATTACAAGCAATTATGCTATGAGCAGATCCATTTTTGACATGTGCTTCCTACAAGTATTTCTAGGGCATACCTCATACCTCACTAGGTGACGGGGAACTGCAGCAGGGCTGTGAGCTGCAGCTGCAGCACACGCTGCTCTGCAAGGAGCAGCCAGACCAGCTTCAGGTGCTCCTGAGAGTCAGAGGGGACTAGGCAGAGTTGGTGCCCTGAGGACATCATCAGACTGCCTAGAGCAAGATCTTGCCTGCTGTGAGAGGGGCTGGGCAGCACTGTGCACACATCTTTCTTTCTGCCTCCTGCTGCCACTGGCCATTTTGGGTTATCTGTCTGTTTTCAGATTTCAGTTACATCATTCCTTTTTGGGGAACCCTTATTTTGATATTGGCTTGCTTCAGGTGGTGCTGTACCCTGTCCTGAGGTACTGCAATTTGCCTACATGCAATTTTGATCTTAGGTCCTAATATTAGGGTATTTATTCCAATTCAGAATAATGTAGATGCTACAGAGTTTAATTAAAACACCACATGAGTTATTAGCACAGTCTCTTTGGCCATTAGGTTCTGGAATCTCTGAGTCAAGTATTAGCAGCTTTATTTCTGAGAAAGGCTAAAGTTCTCCTGAGTCTTGTGAACTCCTTCTACCTTCATGTAAGAGTTACCCAATTATGAAAGTAGCAGCAGATTAATAGTCTTCTGCTAGCAAGTACCAAGCTATTAATAGCTCAGGAATCCCAGATCAGGAACCACACTGACAGCTAAATTTAGCTCAGCAATCAAGGTCAATCTGTTCAAAGCAAAGAGGTTTGGTGCCACTTTGACCCTCAACTCTACATCTCAGAAAAATGAGAGCAGTCTGGGCTGGAGTACAAAAAGCTGTTATGCAATGAGAGCCTGATTTCAGGTCATGCTACTGTGTTGAAAGAATTCCCCAGTGTACAGTGCAGCTTGGCCCCTTTCCTAGCAGGTGGCCTGGACAAGAGTTTCCTTTTAGCACTTCATGAAGCTGGCTACAGCTTGCTTCCAAAGGTCCTGCCTGGCCTCTGGGAAGTGCAAAGGTGCAGGGTCCATACTGGGAAATGGCCTCAACAGCAACCTTTTTTATCCCTGGCACAGTCTGTTCTCTCTGTGGTCTCTTTCAAGTGGCATGGTGGTGGGCAGAGGGCAAGCAGGTAGCAGTGGTGTCTCACCTGAGAGCTGGCTGGCCATTCTGCGCAAGGTAACAGGTGATGGCTTAAACGGCATTGAGCCTTTTTCCAAAAAAATCAGCCCATCTGCTGTGTATCTCTGTTCTGATTCCTTGAGCCTTCCCAGAGGGTTCTTAATAACAAAGTTCTGGGCGTAACGTTCCAATGGGTCATCAAGAGATGTGACTTTTCCTTCCTCCCACAGCTTGTACAACATAATGGTGGGAAAGATCTTGGAGACACTGGCAATTCTGTTAATGAGCAAACATTTATGGAAATTAAGCATTAAGAAGCCCATGAATCAAGAGGAAAAATGGTCAGTACATGAGATCACCCAACTGACCCGCTGTCTGTAGCTTTACATGCAATACCTTTGCTAATTCAGATGAAAATAGCTAAAATGCAAGTAAGAAGCTTGAACTAATATCCTTAACTCTAGCCTTTATGGACCACAACATAACCTCAGTAGTATCTCTCCAATAGTGCTGTAGGCTACAGAACTTTCTCTGTTCACTTAGTATTCGTAAGATGACATATTTTGTAAATTGTTATTTAGTAAATACCATAACAAGTTAAAATCAGTTTATTGGAATTTTAAGGTTAAAATGCCATAAAGTTTTACATTTCATATTCAGAGTTGATATTTAGGCAGCTTCAGAACAGAGTAAAATTTACAAAAGGTCTTTTGGAATAGGACTTTGCTTCTACTTTGTTGGATTTTGGAAACAGGGAAGTCTCTGTGGTGCAATGGGTTAGTGCTTTCAGCTGTTAACCGAAAGGTTAGTGGTTCAAGCCCACTGAGGGATGCATTCCTGTTTCCCTGTCTATGGCAGGGACCCCTAAGGTTCCTTCCAACCCAAACCATTCTATGATTCTGGGAAAAATAGCATGAGGTCATCTTCGCAGGGATTTTACCATGATACAGAGGGGATAAAAACAGGTAATCAGAGCTGCTGAAACTTTACAAAATTGTTTATTCTGAGGACAACATTAGATAGTCAGAGTGCAGCCCATATGTTTTATATATAGCACAGTTATAAATTACTGAATATAGAGCTTTAAAGAAAGTAAACACTTCCTTTGTATTTGTGGTTTTGTTTTTTTTAACACACACTAAGAGCTTGATTCTATCTTCATCTGAAAAAAATGTCCAATATGGCTTTGACTTCACTAGGAGAATGAATAAGCGTACAGGTCTACTTTATTTTTTCAGTAAATACTATTCCCAATACTATTTTTGCTAGACTGAACTTTTTTTTTTTTTAAATCCTATGGCACTGTCTCCTCACTGTTCACAAAATCTGTCTCTCAGTCTTCAGATTTGTGCTGTAGGCCTCCTCAAAGCATGGAGACATTCCTACATAAGGAGTAGTATGTTTTCAGGTTCTTCAGCGTGGTCACTGCTATTCCAATTTAAAATATTCTCAGACCAAATTAAAAATAAAAATAAAATCCAAATTAAACAACTCAGGAAGTCATAAACATATGATAATTTAGGGACTAGGTGAAGCATTCTCTCACAAAGTTTCTGCAGTCGACCTGAGCTAGTAGAAAATGCGGTTTCTGACAATGGCTCTATTCCCAGATATCAGATCTCCATATGTGTATCTGCTCTTTTTCTAGCTCTCATGCCTGTGATTCATCTGTCTCACCTGTAAATAGTGTACTCATTGGGCACCACTGAGGAGGGGTCCGAACCATTCTTCTTCCCAAAGTTGCCTGTCCAGAGCACAGTGTCGTTGTAGATAACAATGGCAGACATGGCAGGGAGACCAGAGATATGAATCTTTTGGCGCAGCATCATATCTACCTGGAGAATGAAGAATGATGGGAAATTATGAATTTCCAAATGAAGAGACTTGTAATGCATCTAGTCTGTAACAGGGGTAGAAGACCCAGACCATCAGCCCTCCTTACTTCCAAGCACTTGAGAGTAATTTTTTCAGGTGTGTTTTGGCAAAAGAAAAATAACAGCTGTACTGTTTCTTTGAATTGCTTATGCTGAATTATCCAGTATCTTTGTTTCAGTCTACATGTCCACCGTGTAGAAGAATGCGGTGCTCATCCTTATAATACCTATGACGCTTATACGATTAAAAACAAATGCTAAAACCTAATAATTGTAATTTCTTCCTTTTTTAAACTGTACTGTGCACATCTATTCTTTGCACTAGTATTTTAGGTTCATAGATGTATGAGAAAACAATCCAGACTTTTCAAATATTCTGTGATACTTTTCATGCCATGAAACATGCTACAGCTAGGACTCCTGTTTAAACTGCAATCTGAGAAACAGCAGTGAGCAACTGGCTGTGATTGCTCTTTGTTCCCTGTTCTGCCAGGGTTGTGTAGACCCAATCAGTCAGCTGTGCTCCACTCACCTCCTGCAAGCAGAATACATTGGTCTTGCTCTTTTATAACTTTTTCAAAGCTATGGTATCATCCTGCATAAGTTATCTTTTGCACAGAAAGGCTGAGACATAAGAAATGGCCTTCCAAGCCCAGCATTTGAGACAAGAAAGGCCAAGACGAGTCATGTCCTCAGGACCTCTTCACTGGATGGATGGGTGAGGTGCACTGACAGCCAGCAGTGGAAACATGCAACTTGTGCCAAATCCTTCTGGAGTGGTTTTTGCCCTTCCCTCCCCATGTGCCAGTGGCCCATCCTAGTATGGTTAGGTACACCAGCACCTCCAGAGAACAGACTGGCCTCGTGTCAGCAAGCATGGTCCTCCTTAGAGTTTTCTCAGACAGAGTCTAGCATGTAGACTTGCTTAAGCCTGCAAAAAATTCACAGAAATACACGATGCTCTTCTAGACTCGAGTGTCATTGAATCCAATACTCAGCATTTGGATTTGGCCACTAGCAAGACTCTTCTGAGGAAAATGCAGGGCTTTCTGAGAAGCAAAAGCATTTACCCTTAGAAGAGAAATGTTTCCTTAAGCCTCATGCATGAGTGAATGTCACTCTCCTGTTTCAAGCTGTCGTGGGCTAGGAAAAAGTCCTCCCCTGTGAGCAATATAATTGCATCTGGTACTGTCCAGAGTCCCAGTTCCAGGGTCCCTGGCCTGGAACAGGATGGCAGTTTGTCTCAGGTAGTGCAAGATCTTTAGTGTGGGTTCAAGTGTCCACAGACTTAGGCAGAACGTAAGGGCATCTGAAGATACACTTTAGAGGTGCAGGTGGCTAAGCCCCCTTGAAATACCTATATTTTCCTATGCATCTGGTGTTCAGATTCTCTGTGTCTTATTCCATCTGCAAAATAGGAATAGTTTCACCAGCCTACTTCAAAGAAGTGCTTGGATACTTCGTTTCTGAGGAGCACAAAGAAGGGAGGTTAGATGACTCTCTAATGAACACTCAATGTTCTGCACATTCCCCCACTTCTCTGACTAATCCTAATTGAATAATAAAATACCTCTCCATAGTAACCCCAGAGACAGCGGCAGAGACTTCATAAAAGTGAATGTGAAGTGATAGCAATTGAAATTCAGTGTAGATAAAGCGATGTGCATGCGGGAAAACAACCCTAACTTCACAACACATACACACAGATGGGCAGTGAGCTGGTCATTAGCACTGAGGAACAAGACCTTGGGGCTATGCTGGATGCTCCTATGTAAACATTTGCTTGGTGCCCTATAGCAAAAAGAAAAAGGTAAATCAAATATGAGGGACTGTTAGACAAGTAACAGAAAACACCCTTTGATCACTGTATAAATCCCTGATCCACTTGCACCTTGAATACTGTATACAGTACTGATTTCCCACATACAAGAGAATGCTAGAGCTGGAAAAGATTGAAAGAAGGGTAAAAAGAATGATCAGAGCTGTGGGACAGTTTTTATTATGACTAATTAAGCTACGCATGAGAAAGAGACAAATGAGAGGGTATATTATATGATAGGGGTCTACAATATCAGGAGTGTCCTGTCATAGCATGGCTGTCCTTATGGTCCATGCAGTCAAGGCAACGCTGCAGTGTTTCCTCATTGCAAACGGAGCTACCAGAATTTCAGACAGTGCCAAAATTTCAGAGACAGCATAGCATACTGCAGAAAAGCAGGTCTCTCTTTCATTCAGATGCAGGTCCCCTTCCTCTTCCCCTTCCCCTGTATTCCTTTCCTTGAAGTTACCTACAAGTAGTTTTTTAATTTTGAAATGGTGGCATGGGGAAAGCCAGAAAAGCAATAAAATAAGGAATTGGCAGTCACCAATGAATAGGAACTAGTTACATGAGTCATCTACTTTCCAGGACATGAGGGCTGCCTGGTAGTAGACAAGATGCCAAGAGCTATCATTTTATGCTGATGGGTGCTCACCAGGCCTTCTGATGGACAAGTAATAATGTTTCTTCATCATAGCTTACCCTTTGGATAAGTAACTGCTTATTGACCTGTTCTGTATGTTCAGTGAAGGTGTTTTCTATGCCCATTTCTAGGTTCACATGTTATCCACCTCCTTGATCTCCTTCCTCAGAGATCCTCTGGGCAAAATACATATCGTCCCCTTTACACCTTCAGAAAAGCAGTCATGAGCTGTTTCCCTCTGTTCCCTTCTCCTCACAGACCTTCTCCAATGCGTCCTTCAGAATGGGGATTGGGTGGTCCAGTGGTACTGGTTCAGGATAGCGGGGGCACATCTGCACAGCTTCTGATCTCACTTCCATCACAGATGGGCCTGGAAAACATTTCAAAGATAGTGTATGTGACTTCAATAGACACACTGACAAGCTCTAACCTCATCCAATAGCCAGCACTAGCTTTCTTGCTTGTGTTGTCCAAAGCTGAAGGACACTTCTGCATAGGAAAGAGGCAATCTTGAATTCTTTCTATATCTCACATAAAACACGACTTGAAGAGGGCACTGTGCTCTGTTATTTCTTATTCCAACTTGGGATGGACACGGGATGGACAGGAGCTGCAATAGGCTTCAACTGACTCTGCAACTTGGAAGAGTAAGGAACTGGGACTACAGAAGACTCTGTAGGGTACCTGACAGTGGGTTAGACCCTGTGAAAGTGTTCATGTCTAGGGGAAAGTTTGAGTTTGGGTTCAGGAGGACAGAGTTGTCCCATGTGTATTGTAACCTCAGAAAATAGATGTAGAAGTGAATTCTGAGTGTCACCTGAAATCTGATACTATAACAACAATTGATAGGCTGCATATCTAGTATATTAGCTGTCTTCTGAATTAGCTGTATCCTGCGTATACCAGAGACACGTCTTAAATTTTTGTGGCAAGCAAAGATCTTTAAACTCAGTGAGAGATGGAAATTCTCTTACTTGGAAGCACTATTTTCCCAGTTGATCCCAAGGTGTTCCTAAACACAGCTCCTCTGCTTTCTAAGCTGTAAACAAAATGCTTATTTATCTTTTTGCTTACCAACTGAGCATGAAGCATTAGAAATACAGATGAGAAGAGAAATGGCACTATGAAAACTTTGAAATGAATGGGGATGGATACACAAGAGCCTACAGGCAGCCTCTGATATTCTGTGATAAAAATGTAGGGTCTGAAATCTGTTCAGACATTGACCTATGAAGTACCTCTGGCACCTTTGCTGTGGATTTTATAACACCTTTGGGCTACTTAAAACTCTGATCCAGTTACACTGTGCATATTTCATCCTTGCACATACAGTGCGTTGAGTCTACCTGTTGAGTTTTCTATAAGCAACATAAGGGAATTCTGGTGTGAACTGGGGCCTTGAGACGGTTCAAAGGTCTAAGATTAGGGGAATAGGAAGGGAAGAAAATCCATAAACTGAAGCACATGGTGAGGTGTAAAACAAAACCTGTTCTAAACTGGAGTGACTTTTACAACAGAATGTAAAACAAAATGTGTCCTTGGTATATCAATTAATGTAGGTTAGCACCAGAAGTAATGGAGCTTCCCTGGACATGAGAAGAGTTACCTGGTACTCCACCAACCCAATGTTCATCTCCTCTGTGTCCTTGCACCAGCTAGGAGGAGGTAAATTTGTGTGCTGTTCGGGGAAGCGCTCTTTGGGGAAAAATGTCCACATGGGGAGAAAGGCGTTTACTGGTCTCACAAATATCTGTACCAAACCATGGCCAAGCTTAAAGATCACTCACTGGGGTCCACCTTGGGGAGGGTGTACTGCCACAGAAAGCAGCCCGTCATTGCAACAGACAACAGGAAGAAGAAGATGACCAACACGTGAATCCACTTCACCTCCATAACAGTGAGCTTGAGGAGGCTCCGGCTGCTGGATGCTTGCTGTAAGCAGAAAAGACATGATCTCAGAGAAAGAAAAACTGCCTCTCATGCATACCAGCTAGGTGAGAGAGGCACACTACATCGGAGAATAAAGCTCCTGCAGAGAGATGGACTAGTTCCAGTACTATTGTGACATCAGAGCTGGGCATACCTGACCACACTGAAATAACTGGAAACAGAGATGACTTCTTGTCTTCCAATGATGTTTGCAAGACATTACTCTCCTTAGCTTGTTGGCCTTGTTGGTTCTTGTAGAAGAAAACCATCCACTCCTTTTGCCTTTTCCCCTCCCTGCAGGTGAACCTCATCAGCCCAGGCTGGTAGGATTCTTTGTTACAGCTCTCATTTTCCTCCATCCTCAACTGTCATGACTTATTCCTGGATATCTTTCCAACCCCTTTTTTCCAGAGTCCAGCGTCTGTTCATGGCAGCCATCATCCAGATCATCTGAGCAGATACAGCTGTTATAGATGAATGATAGAATTTTTCACCATGTACTGCCCTTACCCTTCTATTCTGTGCCTGTAATTCCCATTATATCATGTACCATCTGTAAGCTTGGCATTTATAGATGCCATGTTTTGGAAAACTGGCTAATATTTTGGGTTTGTGCAGCTCTCACAACACTGGAGACCATCCAGATTGGTGATACTACCATATAAATATTGAAGAAAAACAAGGAACAGATGACAAATGACTAGGTACCTAAGCATGAGCTGTGCTCTTTCACTGACTGTAGGAGGTCAATAGGATGCTTTGGAAAGTTTAGCAATTAATGTTATAAACCATATGGCCTGCCATTTGCATCCAATATGGTCCACATTCCAAAGCTGTTTCAGGTTGTCTGGACTCACTTGTAGGATAGACAGACTAAAATACTCCCTTTAGATTTCCACATGGCCCTTTTTTTATTTTTTGAGATACAGGACAGTTCATGCAAAGCTTCTGCAAGTCAACTGAGCCTTGTCACTCACAACAAGGGAATCTGCAAAGCCACTTCCAGACTTGCACACGGCTCTGTGGCTCCGTAAGGATCCAGTTGGGGAATCTAGCCCCTGCTGAAACTCTAGGTTGCAATTCCCCTTTCTGTACAGCAACAGAAATATGTCACAATTATTTCTGAAGCCCTTTAGCCTGCTCGGGCATTCCCACATAAATTTCCGAAGGCTGCTTACTTTAGGTTCTTCCCTAACATAATTAAGTCTTCAAGGATGGCTTAAGACCATACAGGTGCCTGAGACCCACTCAGATCTGAGCCTGCCAGCACACACATGCAGTCCATATTCCAGCTATCAAAGTAACATGTGTTCCTAAATAGGGGAATGCCATTTTGACAACAAAACCAGCTTGGTTTAGATATATGCAACCTCATACAGTGCCTTAGTAGGCAGGAGATCATATCCACACAAGGAGAAACTTGTGTACTGAGATCTCTTTAATCACCCCCATGCTGGCAGGCTTCAGTTTATGCTGAAGGATGTTGCCTACAGCTGCAACGAGATGTTGTTTTCCTGCACCAAGGAGTGGGACAGGGCCCTCTTTGCCCTGGAGTAGTCATGGGGTGACTTTCTTAGATTTAGTCTCATCATAATAAGGTGGTCCCACCAATCTGCAGTTCCTTTGATGATTTTTCTGCCTCTTTCCTTGCTTCACTGAGAAACCCTGATTCCTGGGTCCCTAAGAGCAAGGTGAAAGGAAAAGATTTTTTGGTATATGCCTCATCTCGTGAACTCCAGACTCCATAGACCACTAATTGAGCACGCAAAACACCAATACTTAACTCTCATCCTTTAGTCCAAACTCCCCTTTATCTCTTGTGGATGATGAGTGCCCTGAATGTCTCTTTTGTTCTTTGACCCATAATCTAGTGGCAATGCAATAAAACCATGGCAATGCTACGAAACTAGAGACATGGATCTCTCTCTTTTATTGATGGGGCACCAAATAGGCAAAAGTGTGAAGAATATTTATCACCCTGTGGAGATGCTCTACCCTCTAAGCTACCTTTCAGGAAAAATACCACTTTTCCCCTGTAACTGGGAAACTGTCAGACAAACAGATGGACAGACACCTACAAACAGACTCCTCAAACCTCCCACTCCAGGACCTCTCTGGTCTTACCTCCCTTCCAGCTGGTTTCTCCATCTCACGTACATTGCTCAGTGACTGTCACTGCTAACTAACAGCACAAACACAGCAAGGGAGGGGGAGGGAGGCTACCAAGCACTTAGACACATGCAAATGAATGCAAACACATGCAGGAACAAGTGCACACAACTGCCCATAGGTGTGTTAGCTGTATCGTACTTTTTTTCCCCTTGAGCTTTGAAAAATTAGGATGGGGGGAGGAGAAATGGGGATTTCAGATAGACCACCCAGGTACACTGTCCTGCCCTGCTACGCTCATCTAGGCAGACTGCCACAGACCCTGCGAGCTGCCCAGGCAGAGGCACATCTTAACACCAGTGAGGGAGAGCCAGAGTGAGCCCCAGTCCCCTGCACATACCATCACCAGGAGCCGTCTCAGTCCCAGAGGCTGTTGCCAGGCATCTCAGCGTGTGCGTACCGTAACAAAACCACACTGTCTGGTGTCAGCCCCGGTGAGGGGGGAGCAGAGCACCTTGCCATGCTCCCAAACGCAGCTGCTGCTCAGTCACTCTGGCTGAAGTGGCTGTTTTTAGCTCCCTCACAGTCCTGCTCCGGGTTTCCCTGTCTGTTTGACCCATTCAGACCCTCCACAAAGTGCTGCTGACCTCCCCTGGGCAAGGAGATTAAGTGACAGGAACAGAATGGCATTTGCTCTCAGGAAAGTGCCTGAGAGATTGAATGTTAATTCTTCCTAATGCTTCTCTGCCATGTGTGTGAATCACAGCTGAAACCATGAGGGCTTCACAATCTATTTATAGCAGCTTCATCTCTTCCTGACATCTGAACAGGAGGCGATTAACTCATGAGATGGACAGCCCCTGCGTGCCTCCGTCCATCCGTCTGTCGCTGGGCGGGCCTGCGAGGGGGCAGACTGGGCTGTTTGCAGGAAGGGGAGGTGGGGGAGCTTAAACCAGGAGCTCAGGCACTCTCTGGGCTTAATCCTGAACAGCCTCCTGGAGATCCCCTGCAGTGATAGACAAAAGAGTCATTCCCAGCTAACAGGCTCACCAGACATTGATGGAGCCAGTATTTTCTTTCCCCTTAGCTGCTGGGGACTCTGAAGGATGGTGGAAGGTTGTGATTTGCACAAGGTGAGCCTTACCCGCAGCTGTAACCCATCCATGGCTGCTCACAAGGCTCTTCTCATCCCCTGTGCTGCCTGTCTCCACAAACGAAAGGCTCACAAAACCCTATTGTGACGAGAAACAAAAAGTTAGTGCGGGAAAAAAATCAATGGAAGCCCAGACTAACAAAGCTCAGCCCGGATAAGCAGAGCAGCAGGGAGGGACTGGTTTTGGATAGGGAGATAAACCACAGTAACCATGTAAGTCCCCAGTTACACCTTCCCTCTCTCTACTCTGGTTTAGCAGCACCTTATGTTTATGGTAAGGGCTGGACCCAAGCTCTGGGACTTGCCAGAGCCCACAGCCATCCTCACACCACCTCCCAAGCACAAGGAACTGGAGCTTCGAGACCTTTCAGGCTGACACGTTTCCATTGTGCCTGCTCTGCAGAGTCCTTCCAGCACTCTCCCTGGCCTCTCAGCCTTGCTCCCTCTACACAGACAACATCACCCTCCTTAGTCTGGAATCACAGACACAGCCAAGAAACTGTATGACAGATTTGGAAGTACCAAGATAATGGCATGGCTGCCACCCCTCCCATAATATCTCCCTCTTGTCTTGCTACCTGGCAGCAGCAATTCAATAGGCACACCCCACCCCCCCATAAGAGTTCTTACCAGCCTTGCTGCTACCCTCCTGCTTCCAGTGCTGATGAATTTGGGGCTGTCCTGGAGCTGCAGATGTTAAGAGCATCTGAAGCACTAATCCCAACAGTCAGCCTCCCTGAGCACAGATTAATCCACCATGCCTCACCCCTCCTCAAGCAATGCAGCATCTGTCCAGGGATGCAGTCAAAAGGGAGTATTGCTGGTGATTTCATGGCTCAAACAATATAGCAGAGTGGAAGATGGGGAGCTGGGGAGGAGGGTTTCCTTAACAGAGTCAACTGTAAATGTTAATAATGAACTGCCATTATCATGTAAAGTACTTTATAAATGCTCTCCAAAGAGGAGGGCACAGTCATGCCCCCAGTTAGGCACCAAATCCAGAGGGATTATGCACTTCAGGGATCCTGCCATCCTGTTGCCTTCTTCAGATGTTCACAGGTAAGGATATTCTCTTCAGTGCCATTTCTTCTTTTCAGTATCTCCAGTAGCAGCCCAGGCTCTGACAGAGCTCAAAATACTCAAGTGGAACCTATGCAGCAATGTGCCTGTGCCTCAGAGTTGTGCCCAAATTTTGCTGAACGGGGCTGCAGATGACCTTCTTACTAATCTGAGTGGCTCAAGTTCCTCACAGTTTTGTTGATCCTCATTTCTGGGAACTCCTATTTCCTTCTGTCCCTGCTATCAACCTCCCCAGGCTTTCCTTCACAGGCTGTACAGCGATCTTCATTCAAAGACAAAGAGAAGTGCATATGTAGCTAACTCATGCTTTTTACATATTACTTTTACATCCCATTCCTTCTTAATTTTCACTCCATTATTGCAGAGTTCATTTAAAAAAATTGTGGTTTTCATTCTCCAACTCAGTGTGATTTGCAGCAATTCACTCATCATCCCCATATTTCTTGACCTGTCCAAGAGCTGTTGGCTCTGGGCTTTCCCCAAAAAAGGACCTGCATACCCACAACTATAACAGAGTCTCAGTCCTTCCTGGCTCAGCAGTGTTTCCTAAGTTTCACTTTCATGTTTTTCAGTCCTTCCTTGCAACTGACTGGCTCAGAGAAGGGTCCCACCTTAGAGAAACCTCAAAACATGGCAGCAGGGGGTTAAGAAGAGCTTGTGC